GATGATGCCGACTACGATGCCGGCGAAACGTTTGAGAATGTATCAAGTCCACTGTCAGATGCCGGGAATCCAGACAACTACTAGGGCAGAGGACTCGGTGCGTTCTACATAGCCCCCCTGAACCCAAGACCAAGTTGCGACAACGAGGTCAACCCACTTTTAATTAACTTATTTGTAAATAGTCCTTAAAACCGATAAGAGTGATTGAAGTATTTATTCAAGGCCTAAGATTTGCTATTAAATGGGCAAATGATCCTGACTAGTGGAGGGCAATGAGATACATTTGCCTTATAATGGAAAAAACAGGTAGAAAAGTACCATTATTGAATGAACCATTGAATGACAAACCGGCCCTCGGCACAATAATCGCACGCGAGTTTTTAACTAGAAACAAGCATAGAAGTATACGGTGAAGGGTTTTTAGCCGGCGTTTATCTTATATTTAAATTTGCTATTGGAATGCACATTAAGAACCTCATATCTTGACTCGTCAGCATACCGAAATATTAAGAGTTCTGAGCTCGATACGATTTTATTCTAAAGATTTCTCTTCATCGTAAATAAGGCCCTATATAAATGCTAATTTGTTAATGTCCTACTAAACAGATATTATCTAGTATCCATCTATTATTCATAATCTGCCCTATAGGCGATAAATTTCAGACACACACATTAGAAGGCTTATTCAATTGGATAAATTGATTACATCTAGCCTGGCTAGAATTTGCTTCAAAAATTTATCGCTTTGGGCTTGTTAATAAGCCATAATCTGCTAGGAGCTGTTAACTATCAACGGTTCCCCTACCTGGCATCAGTACGGCATCATCACTCCCGCCAAAATAGTACAAACCATTTAAGCCATATGGCTAAATGAAGCATAATTGATGCACTGAGAATCCTTATAAATTGAGGTTTTGCCCAAATTTTGAATCCCGTATTTTGTGCTAGTTCTACCTAGACAACGTTAGGACTGCAGTTCGGTCTCGATAATAAAACCTTTTTGGAATTAAGGTTAAGCGAAACCCAATGGTATCACATTGAGAAAAACTTTGCCATCAGTCCTCAAATCACCATAAGCGATATATTGTGACTAAGTTCTTAATAGAGATCGCTTCATCATTCAGTTATGGTGTAGCTTTTCACCACGACATAGCACAGTAGGACTTGGCGATAAGCGTTGAGAGGAAAGTGGGTGTGCTGATATTCCCTCTCTACGTCTATAGCTGAGGTTGCCATCAATTTAGATATCTTCATCTTCCTTTACAGAACCCAGAGGAATTCGATAGCGTTGTCAAAGTTTTTTTAGAGGTTAAATACAAGCCCTCTAAGTTTATGTAGAAGTATTAGGAAAATCTCAGTAAATTTGATGCTTCTATATGCACAACCGACGCTCTGCCCTGGTCAGATGATTTGCGAATTCGGCTTGTCCTACATCATTGTCAACGCACCCATGCTGCACTCCTGCCTTTCTGGTATGAACCAGATGGAGGCCGAGCTCGCCTTCCTCCAGCTGGCCGATAAATGCCCATTTGTCCGCCCCACTTCTCCACCATCTTTTCTTCCTGCAACCACGAGTTGCAATACCTCCGGAGGACGACAAAGCTGCCAAGTCGATACCCAAATTCGGCTGCCCGTCTTCCCATTTCTCGTCGAAACCCGCACGGCTTGCGCCTTGTCCATTCGTCTGCAATCCTTTCTCGGTCAGCATTCTCCGCCGGCGACGTTCGCGCCTGACCGGCTCAGACGTCAACCAAGAGGCCACAGCTGTTTACACCGCAAGGGTATCGGTTACAACAACAGCTGCCAGGAGCCAGTCACCGAGACCCACTGCTCCTTCAATATGCACATAGTCCATCTGATAGCGCTGGATCACGTCGACTTTGAAATCATCCGGCCTATTATTTCAAGTAGATTGAGCTCCGGCACCGCATTTCACCTGCAACAAAGACACCGTTGGCCCTTCTCCGCTTCGTCCAGCCCAGCCATTCTTTTAAGCCCAGATGCAGAGATGAGTTTGCCTTAAACTTATCCAAGCCCTATCACATGGTTGATATGCAGTGCCTGTCCACACTCCCCGACCGTTAACTCCTCCGGTAACCGAAGACTCTCTTTGCAGACAGAATCACCCGTTAAAGTGGCGAGGCCCACGAGGCTATAAAAAGCGCCAGGACTCTTGGTTGCACGTTCCCACTCTTTCGGCGACTGCGGAGTCGGCACCTGTTGGGGCCGTGGTGCACCTAGTAACTTAGCTTGTGATTTGGCCGATGACGGGACTGAAGTGCCACCCAGAATGGAGGAGCCGACCTGCCACAACAGCCAACGCACTTATTGCACCCGGCGCCAAGGGCTCAACCTAACCCTACCTAAAGAACCGCAGTGGCATGGTTACGAGTCTCTGAAACACCTGTTCAGACTACGAGTTGAGCAGGTGGGGAAGACAAAGTTGGGACCCTGGGAGACTGGGGCGGATTCTGGACTCTCTTGCCTGGTATCAACCTCTTACTGGCTTGGAATTGGGCCTGACGGACTCTACATCTTACGGGTACACAGGAAGAGAAAATTTGTTTAGTCTAGGAGCTGGCTCAGCTAACAAAATTCACTGTCTACGACTCGAGGTCTGATTGCGGTGGGTCTATCCTTGATTGTGTGTGTGTGAAGAGATTTCTAATTCGATCTCGTTAGAAGCCAGCAGTAGTTAAGACCATGAGGTTTAAATTTATACAGGGGCTTCGGGGTTTCATATATCATGCCAACTTATATACATATATTTATCAAATTCCTTTACATGTAGATCTAATTGCTTG